GCCGCCGCAGCCACTGCCGCCATGCCGTCTACCATTACCAGCGTCGTTGTCGTCCTCGCCAAGCCGCCATGGCCGAGGTCGCCGCCCAATGGCCGAGGTCGCCGCGCTGTCGCCATGGACGACTCCGCCATGCCGTTGCGCTGTCCTCACTGCCGCCACCGTCACTGGCACCTATTCACGGCCGACGCTAAAAACGTTAGCGAACAAATGAACGAACGACCCTAACGAATGGAACGAACGAACGAACAACCCTAACGTTAGAACGAACGAACGACCATAACGTTAGAACGAACGACCGACCGTAACAAATTGAACGAATGAGCGACCCTAATGTTAGAACGAATGGACGAGAACGATATAACGAACGGATGAATGTATAGAACACAGAACGTATAGAACGAAAGGACGAACGATAGGAAACGATAGAACGAATGAGAATGAACGATAGACGAACGAACGTGAACGAACGATAGAACGAACGTGAATGACCGAGAACGATAGAACAAGCGTGATCGATAGAACGAACGAGAACGATAGAACGAACGTGAACGATAGAACTACCGAACGAAGTGCCCGATTTATATATTCATTGAGAATTTAGACTTATAATATTGATAATGCACATTTTTTAACTAATATTTTTTCCTATGTCAGAGTATACGTGGTCCATCCCTAACCGCCGCCGTTGATCAGTCTTGAGTGGTTGCAAGCCTCCGAAGGAAAAACTAATGTAAGTTAATATTTTTTTCCCATGTTAGAATATATGTGGCCCAATCACATCTTGCCACTAAAAAATCTTACATCTACAAGTATACATATGTGCCCGATTTAATATTGATTTCACTTGTAATATTCATATGTGCCCGATTTAATACTGTTTTCACTTGTCCTAATCATTTATAATTAACATACGACGATATAAAATTGTTTTCACTTGTAATTTTCATTTATTATTAATTACCATATAGTCGATTTCATACTATTTTCACTTGTAATAATCATTTATAATTAACATACGAACATATGGCTGATCGCGATGACGAACAGTTCATTATAAGTGAAATCACAAGTGGATCAAAGCTCTGGTTCTATGCACACGGTGGATCACTCAATCCCGAGGATGGCTCCCTAATATTCGGCGATGAGATACACGAAGCTGCCCATCGGCTGACAGACGCAGTGGAGGCCTCTTCTCAGGGAATGTTCAGGCCGGACAAAGAGAAGGACGAGCTTACACTCGCACTACAGAATCCCGAGCATCTAGGAAGAACGAGAGGAAGAGGTGTGGTTCCATGGAAGATAGGATTCAAAGAGGACATCCACACTTACAAGAGTCGGATGAGGAGCAAGAGAGATACCGAGTCGAAGATTGCTGACCTTGAATATAGGGTATCGATGAATGAAGTGAGGATGCATGAGGAGGTGGCAAGAAGGGTGGACGAATGACTTGTGTCACAGCGGAGCCAGGAGCCCCAGCCCTATATTCCGCCTACCACGGTCAGCCCCTCAGGCAATCGCAGCAGCTACGCCTCAACAGGATAGGTTAGCTTGGATAGCATGCAAGCAGTGCCAGCTCAGGAAGAAACCCCCTGCTGGCCCATTGATGGAATCACGCAACGAACATCATGCGAGCTGCCTATTCCCTTCAGGAACTTATCCATCAAGGTTTGCTCATACTTTTATGACATGTACATTCAAAAGTCGTTGCACACATAGTTTGATTACTAATTAATAACCTCGATTCTCGTGAAGGTGGCGTCGGGCATGGCCATCCCATGTAGGGCGATTCCACCTAGGTACTCAAGGGTGGAAGTTGAGCTCGTGGAAGCCATGTAAGAGGATCTCGAGCTGGAGATCCCTGGAGGAGACGGGGAGACGAAACTAGGAGAAACAAGACAGGGCATTACTCTATGGGCCAAGCTCTACATCGTGTTTCCCGGGCGAGAATCGACGTCCGATCATCCATCTCCTCCGCTTGAACCGTCTCCTCCGGCCCCTCCGCCTGCACCGTCTCCTCCGGCCCCTCCGCCTGCACCGTCTCCTCCAGCCCCTCCGCCTGCACTGTGTCACATCCTGATTTTCGTCTTAGGATTTATAAATTATTTAATAAATTATTAATAGAATTTATATTAAATGTTCATTAATTTACAAGTGAAGTTAAATGTGGGAAATAAAATTTTTTAAATATAAAGCATGGATGGATTTAATTTTTATTAAATTCTCCATGGTTAAATATACTCTCTGGAATATTCTCAGATTTTTCGGAGCTCAATTATTAATTTTAATCATACAAAGAGCATTTCAGTAATTACCCACATATTAAATTAATCATTAAATGGTATAATTATAATTTTTTTAAGTACTATGAGTGTCCAAGTATTTTCAAGATTTTTCTTGGAATTATTTGAGCATAGGAAGTATTTTTAACAATTCAAAGATCATTTCCGTGATTAATTTAATTGGAAAAAGTTTTTAAATCCTCCTCCTCAGCTTGGGCCCTTTTCGGCCCATTCCTTCCTCTTCTCTCTGCCTCCTCGCGCGTGGCCAAGTGGCCCAAACCGGCCCAGTCCGAGCCGCCGGCCTCCTCTCCTCTCAGCCATCCAAAAGTCTAGTTTGCCTCCCTGCTACAGTGTCATCTTCAATCTCCAGCCGCTGGTACAGGCCGAGCCGAGCTGCCCGATCCGCCGCCTTGCCGCCTCAAATCCGCACCCAATCCGGCCCCGTTTCTTCCGGATTTTTGAGGGGTTTTGATCCTCTCGTTCTCCTCTATCTTTCCCCTCGGCTTCGATTCCTCTCGTTTGGAGTCAGATCTCTCTAGTCCAAGCCTATATAAAGCTTCCTCTCGTCGTTCTCTTTCGTTTGCCCCATCTCCCGTCCTCTCCCGTGCCCCGTAGCGCCGCCGCCACGCGCGCCAAGCTCGCCGCCGCCGCCGGCCGTCTTCGGCGTCGTCGCCGCGTCGTCTCCGCCGTCGATTCCGCCGTCGCCGCCGCTTCCCCTCGCCACCGTTAGGTGCGCAAGAAGGTGAGGAACCTCGGCCGCTCGTCCTTTTTCGCCGCCGGCCACCGGAGAGTCGCCGCCGCCGTTCAACCGAGCCGCCGCCGTCGCCCTTCTCGTCGCCGGCCGTCGTCGTTCGTCGTTTGTCGTTGTGGTGAGTACCGTTGGGTTCGTCTCGTTGTCCTCTACGTGTACATGCCCTCCAAATCCGCAGCCGGCCGCTCTATCTCCGGCGAGGTCGCCACCGTGGTTCGGCCGGCATTGATGACGTCATCGTGACATCATCATCCTTTCTTTTTCCCGTTTTTTCTAATAGATTAAATCTTCGGAAAATCATAACTAAATAACCGTAGATCCGTTTCAGGTGGTTCAAGTTGCTAAATTTTTCTAAAATAAAGATCTACATATTAAAATTGTCCATAAATTGAATTAAATTTATTTAATTCTTTTTAAATGGGCTTTAAATAGATTTAGTCTTGTAAAATTCTTAATAAATTCATTTGAAGTCAGAACGAGGCCGTTCAAGTCTCATAATTCAACTAAAATTATGATCTACATGTTTGTTTACTTTTTATGTATTGTTTATTTGGTTTTTATTAGTCTTTTTCTTCGTTTTGCGTGTTAGCTTGTCGTTTCCGTCGTTGCGAAGGTTCGTGAGTGCGTCGGAAGTAATCAAGAAGATTAATTGAAGACCGATTATTGCAAGGCAAGTCACACAGATCCTAAACACAATCCTTTGAGCATGTTGATACTATATTTAAATTCTCTATTTATTTCAACTGTGCATTTATTTTCGAATGTCACCGGGTGGTGTGAACCTATTCCTTTGTTATGGCCAATTTGCATTGAATGCCCTATTCCTTGATACCTTGGGTAATAGATTGATTAGCTTGAACCTTATGTATTGGTTTGGTTCAGTTAAATGTTATATATGTAATTGCTTAGCAATGCTTAGAAACATTAGCTCACTAATGGAATGAATCATATATACTACATTATTAATTAGGGTTATATGCAATGGTAGCTCACGATGGTTAATCGTGTGATGTTAATTAATTGTTAATTAAAACCTGGATAAGGTGGGTTGTGAGCATATGGTTTTGATGGTTGTGCTCATGACAATTAAGGACCGGTTCGCGAGCTACTGTTGTGAAACATTTATCGTGCCAACCACAAGCCAGCGTGGGCAACGGCTTTATCTTTTGTATAGCATGATTCATTATAGTGCACCAGACTGAGAAGTGGCGAGAAGTCCATGGGGGTCGCTGGGGAGTCCATGCCTTGTTTATAAGGGGGTGATTATGATCCAGGAAAGGTGCGCTGTAATGGGTTATATTGTGCAAGGGGTATTGTCACAACTCTTTTCCGAGATACCGTGGTGGTATTGAGGCACATGGTGACATGATGTGGGGTTGTGTCTTGTGGGTACAGTGGTACACCTCTGGCCAGAGTAAAACTATTCGAATAGCCGTGCCCGCGGTTATGGGCGAGTTGAGCAATGTTTTTCGTTATTAGTCTCACTACTTATTAATGGTAATAATGTGGAAATTAATTAGATTCCTGGTTTGGAATGGATAATTCCTAGTTTGGAGGTTTAATTTGTTCAACTGGGGTTGGTTGTTCAAATGTGGTTGGGCCTATGCAACACGGGTGTGTTGTATGGTGTTTATTTAATATTGATTAATTGTACAACTGTTTTACTATTCTCTTTAAATCTTTTATTAAATGCTGTTTCTGCAAATGAGCTATATTATGCCATCCTTTGTTATCCTGTGCACTTGCATATTTGTTGTGTGGCTTGTTGAGTATGTCATATGCTCATTCTTGCAATAATCAATTAACCTCAGTTGAAGATAAAGGATCCAGAAGGGAAGACGTTTGGCTTATACCCAGTTGAGCTGCCTGTGGGAGTGGAGTTGAAGCCATCGCTAGACCGTTAATTCCGCTGCTGTTTTCTTTTCTTTGTAAGTATGTAAAAGGTATTATTAAGATGGATTTGTATATTAAATTGTCAGTTTGTGTACCTCGGCTGATTCCTGGACGAGGATTTTATGCACAAATAAGTTCGGAAATTACTAGTGAATTTCCGGGCGTGACACACCGTCTCCTTCGGCTCGTCAAGCTCCTACGCTTGCACCGGCTCCTATGGCTCCTCAACCTCCTCCACCTCCTCATACTGCCAAGTCCCGGTCTCGCCAAGCTCCGCTTGCCAGGTCAAGGTCTCCTCCTCCAGCACCTAGCAAGTCAAGGACAACGAAGAAGGCAAAAGTGGAGGACTCACGGTGCCCCGATCCCGTGACTCAGCCATACCTCTGCACTCAAGAGGAGGCTGATAAATCGGTTCAAGAGTACGTGAAGTCGCACTTCAGGAAGAGGAGTCCAGAAAAAAAGATTCCTATAGATCCGGCTGTGAAGGACTTCTTTCTGAAGATGGGACAACCGGCGAAAGAGAAAGTACCAGTATCGGACTATGACCGAGCACTGAAGAAGCATTCTCATCACAAGAAGTCCAAAAAAGTCACTCAACTCGGCGAGCAATCACAACAAGAGGTTGAGCCATTGCTGTCACCTAGAGAATAAGGGATCAGGACTTTTATGAAAGATACTGGACTGGGGAGGGAACAATTGCTTGGAGGTGCACCAATCCCAAAAGCGGAGGTGAGACATAAGTTCAAACTCGGTGAACCGTTTGTCAAGCCTGATCAAGTGAAGACCCTCACGACACAGATGTACCGATTCCATCAATGGTACATGGACAAATCACCCGGCAGTAGAGAGATGTTTGGAGGCTCGTCAAATGATGTCCTGTGGATCGACTTCGCGGACAGATACGATCTATACCATCTGGATGCCCTCGATGTATCTATTATGGCCACATGGACATTATAAGTATTGCTCATAGTTAGATTTATTTCGTTCCTTAGCTCCTTGTATGTAGCTCATACAAATTCCTTTTATCGTAGCTCATACAAATTTCTTTTATCGGTTGTAGAATGGAGGTTCAAAGGTGTCGAAAGCAGGGAAAACAAAGTACTTGCTTCATCGACCCCTGTCGAGTTAACGTCAAACCGCTTGACAAGTTCCCTCAACAAACAGAGGAGAATCTTGTACATTTTCTAGTGCAGCAACATTATAAGACGTACATACTTCTGTCGTACAACACTAAGTGAGTTTTTACTGCCTTTCGTACTAAATTCCTTCTCCGACATGTACATATATATACAGTTTCATATATGTCGTCTCACGCAATTTGCAGATTCCACTAGGTCCTCCTGCTTTTCAACTTGGACTCATGCAGAGTCCATGTCTATGACTCAATGGATAAAGAAGAGAAACTTTTTGACGATATTTTTGCATTGATAGACAGGTACTATCATCTATTGCAAAGTAATTACGAATTTTGCTATTGCTACTATGTAGATCTCGGAGATTAATCAATCGCAGTGCAACTGTACATAGGGCTTGGGATCAATTCTGTGCTTTGGTTAGAGGAAAATTGGAAAGAAAAACTTGGCCAAAGATTTAATTTTCCAGCGAGTAGATGCCCCGAAAATTATATTGAATCAATATTAATTTGCTCTAACATTGAACTTTAAATCTATCGCCGTTTCTCCTTTAGTGTGCAAAGCAGGAACAGGGGACTAACTTGTGCGGCTACTACAACTACGAGTATATGCACTGCCTAGCAAACCAAATCCACAGCACCAAGGAACTCGAAGTATGTAAAAATCAATAATACATTACTTACTTTGGATCGATTTCTTGTTTATTTCATATAATTACATATCATTTTTTTGAAATGATAGTTCATTTACTTAAGGAACAAGTCGACCACTCGATTTGGATTAAGACTATTCAAGAACAACTTATGGGATTTATCAACGAACAGATCCTAGATCCCACGGTTGAATTCTATTAGGACGGGAATACAGTTCATAGCGTCAGTCCTTCTTCCTCTGAGGCGACGTTGACGATTCGTAGCTAGCTAGCATAAGTGCGCTGAAATACAAACATTATATTCAATGTCCAAAGAAATTGTAATATATGTATATATTTATATACGGTAGCGCTACATGACGCTACACACAGGCATTGCGCGTCAGGAAGTTTGGTGGCACGACTCACAGGAAGAAAAACCCACCACCGTGACAACCAGCCGATAACAGAGTTAAAGTTAACTTATCTATATTGGTGGTGGGTTCCGATGCAGCTATTTAAGAGTTATAGTTTAACTTTCGTACAAATAGATGTTCAGTTGTGAAGGAGTTATCGGGAGTTAATATTTGACTTACGCACAGTTGGTATGTGGGATCTGGTGTTGAGGATATTGAGTTAAAAATTAACTTATTGTGGTTGTATAGGTCATCGTGGCATGATAGGCATGATAAACCCATCTCTCCGTGAGTTAAATTGTAACTGTTGAATCATCGTGAGTGAAATTACAGGATCCATCATATGTGCAGGGGTATTTTTCAAAAAAAAAAGTTTATTACGTTGGGGCCAAGTGATGAGTGAAATGTTAACTTAAGAATGATACTTGATGACGATTATGTCGATGTAAATTAACTGATGTTTAATTCATCGGATAGAAATCAACTCCATGTCATAGTAATTGGGAGGTTAAAAATGAAAATCGTAAGGGTCCAGAAACGTGAAATTTTTAGTGATATTTTTATTTCACCGAATAAAATTGGCAGTAAAAAAATTTCAACAATCACAAACGTGTGGATAATAATTATTTTATGATGCATATGTGAAATCTTAGTGAGAGATTATACATATATGAAAGTTTTAGTTAGTAGAAAATTACACACAGCGAGAGCAGAATCATCTGACTCTGACCGGCGAAAAAGAAGAAAAGGAGAAGGATATACATGACACAATAAACCAGCTGTCGACAACAGCTTTGAGACACAAGGAAAACGAAGATCAGATGCATGCAATGACTCTCGATCCAATCTGGCAACACGAAGGCGTAGATGAGCATGCTATTGCGTCAACGACGGAATCGGTCGCCGCCATACTCAAGGTGGCCACCACGCCGCCGTATCGAGCCGCAGGCCGTCAGTCACAGTGTAGATCCCAGTGGATGCAGTCCTCCCTCACGCCTGACCTCCTTGTACGGTGGAACCTCATCACCGACCATCTCGTTGTCAGCATCGACATGGATGACAGTTTGCTCGCGCCGCTGTGAATCGGCCTCCTCGTGGATGCTGCTTCTGCTGCTTGGCCGTGCACGCCGTCGTCGAGGTTGCCGCTGGATGCAGGGCACCATTGTCGGCATCTCGTCTCGCAAATGCCAATTACCCGTCGCCATGGCTGCATGGAGACCATCACGTAGATAAAAAAGGGGAGAAAATAATTTTAAAAGCCAGAAAATGGTGGGTTGCGATGGATGCTGCCGCCCCTTACCGACGGACCTCCTCGCCACCACTCGGATCTCCATCTCCACGCCATCGCCCTGACAAGCAAACCGCACAGGAGGAACCACATCACCATCCGTGTCGACCTCGCCGGTGCCGCTCCTCTCATCGGTGACATTGCCGATCCGAAATATTAGGATCTGGAATGAGAGAATAGGAGATGATGTGTCTGGCTGTGATTCCGCAGCTAATATAAATAGAGATAGATACCACAGTAAAATAATTACTGATGAGAGGACGAGCAGGATGGGTCATGGGCTCATCGGTTGGTGCTTAAAGGGGAGTAAAAAAATTACTACATATAGTTAAAAATTAACTGACTTGTTCAATGTGAGTAAAAAAAGAACATTTTATTCGTGAAAAAAAAGTCATAGACATTTAAATTTTACAAAAACATAATGAAACAAAAGAAAAATAATAATAACAAGAAAAATTAAGGCATGAGCAAAAAAAAAGTTTCCTTTAGTTAATAAATAATTCAATATGCTAAGTACTACCTCCGTCCCAAAATAAGTGCAGTTTTGCACTATTCACGTTCAACATTTGACCGTCCGTCTTATTTGAAAAATTTGTGAAAAATTAAAAACATTTAGTCGCACATAAAGTACTATTCATGTTTTATCATCTAATAGCAATAAAAATACTAATCATAAAAAATCTTCAAATAAGACAGACGGTCAAACGTTGAACATGAATAGTGCAAAACTGCACTTATTTTGGGACGGAGGGAGTAACGTTTATTATAATTGCTGAATCACATATAGTTAAAATTTAACTGACTAAACGTGAATATATATGGTGGGCTATGTAGTAGTAAAAATTTAACTCGTGAATCAAAGTGGGTGGAGTTGGGAGGGGAGTGGGGTGATGGGCAGTGGGTGGGTCTGTTCACTGTGTCAGGTGCCGTTTAAGTTTAAGGTGCCGTTTAATACGTAGCACCTTAAGATGCCATATAGTAGTTCTATATTTACATATATAGACGTTTACTTACGTGTGTAAATATATATTTTGATTATATATATTATTTAACTTAATTAATTAAGTGCTTTCATATATATGTGTGAAATATATATATATATATATATATATATATATATATATATATATATATATATATATATATATATATACACACACACACATATACACACTGCACCTGAAGTGCGTACTAACTAAAACGCTCCCCCTCACACCCTACCTACCCCCCACACCCACCCCTACCCCCTCCTTACCCCCGGCCACCCCACCCTGCAGGCCTCCACGGCTCCACCCCTGGCAACCCATCCCAATCCCAGCCATTTATATGGAAAAAAATTCTCTGCGGCAGTGCCGCACAGGACCGCCATGTGCAACACCACGCGCGCGAGTGACGCGTGTCTGATCTCTTGCTGCAACAGCCTGAGACAATCTTCAGAGCCGAGCCTATCTCCTACACCCATATCTAAACAATTACCAGAACGTTCCGTGATTATCAAAGCACGATTACTCCTTAAATGTTTCGTGATTTCTATGTTAACAATATGTAATTTCTGATCCCTTTTCAAACTGTGATTTTTATGTCATCAAATTGTAATTTCCGAGCCCTTTCAGTACTAGAAAAAACATTTTTACAAACGGCCGAAAATAATCTTTTCAGATGGAAGCCGGTCCGCCTATAGACAAAGGCATGTGAAAATCACCGAACAAAATAAATAATATTTATGAAAAAATTCAAATAAGATGAGGTTAAATAGGAAAAATATGTGGTGATGACGTGGACGAATCTCATACGATTATTTTTTGATTTAATGATAGTTTCTAAATTTCCACTACATAACATAATATATGTAGTGTCCAAAAGTTAAGGGTGTTATTTATTAAAAATGAAAGTATCTTATATGAAAAGAACCCTGTTAAAATTGATGAGTCTGGCTCGGCTCGAAAGAACGTGCTGTCGATGGATATGGCTCGGCGAGATTGGCTCGGCTCCGAAGATGGTCTCAGACTGCAGTTGGTGATTGGACACGCGTCACTCGCGCGCGTGGTGTTGCACAGGCGGTCCTGTGTGGCACTGCCGCAGAGAATTTTCTTCCCATTTATATTACTCCCTCCCTCTCCCTCTCCTATTGTACAAGAACGCTGCTATACGTCCGACTAGCGCGTTCGACTGGCGTACAACTCAACGGCGAATTACACGGCGTGAAGCAGCACTGACTTGGTCAGATGGGCTGCTGTTTCAACTGTCCCACGTAACATAATCCACATCAAAGCCCATATATTATTTCAAGCCTAAACTTATAAGGACACATCATGTCCTTTTAGCCGCACAACGATATTTTGTCTCATGTCTATGATTTTTCAGATGAAAATTTGGAGTAGGCATTAATAAATCAGCAGCTTTCACATACCTTGTGTGATGTGATCAGTGAATACTATTGGCTAGATAAAACAACGTGGCCGTGTGGCCAAATTACATCTTATTGAACTCAAGCAATTGATTAGAGATGGAAGACAAAGGAATTAGACCGTGGGGTTTAGGATAGAAGGAGATAGAAAGTCACGTTGAGGCAATATTATCGGCTAGATGAAACGATGCGCGGACGTGCGGCCAGATTATTGAATTGGGCTTTTGTAAGGCCCAACTGAATTAGCGATCTATGCGGATGTGGAGACACGGACGGCGGACATCTTAGACGTACAAGGGTCGGACGCTTTGGTTGTATGTATAGCATTTTCGATTGTACAAACTGTCAACCCACTTTCCCCTTCCTCCACATTTTACGGATCAAGCGGCACAGGCGCACAGTGGTGACGAGGAGGAGAGGCAACGAGTTGTGAGGACGATGAGGCTGTTAGAGTTTAATCTTGTCATTAGAGTATTTGCATGGTTATTTTTGTTTGCATGTAATAAGTGTTTGCATAAGTCACATGCTAGAAGATGTTTGTACGTGAGATACGTGCATACTGCACTCATGGGCGAGATGCCGAAGCGCCGTGCGATGCGGTGGTATAAGTGGAGCTAGCGACTTGTGTGAATAAGTCAGAAAACTAAGCCTAACTGCAAGTGGAAGTGCTGCGCGAAGTAGCCGGATCGCAGGCAAGGCGAGGTCCCATGTTGCCGAGTGAATCGGTTCCAGTAGTAGATAAGCATTTAGCCGCATGTGTTGTGATTAGTGGTAATCATGTGAAGTGATTTCTTGGCAGATAAGTAGGATTAGTTAGTTACTTAGTTGCATGGCATCCCACGTCTGTGTGCATGGCGTGAGTTGTGGCTGAGTGGGTTTGGCTGTTGTAATCTCTTTGCATGTACTGAGTCTATATAAACAAGAAAACGATGTGAGCTAGTTGGCTGCATCAACAGAAAAAAAGGCTTTCCAGTTTGTGCCATCTGTTCATTCGTGTGTGTGTGACTCAAGTGAAAAATACGTAAGTGTTTGTGATAAACACTACAGAAGAGAGGGAGTGATTCCAACAGCGGCGTCAGGCAGAGGTGAGCGCCGTTCGTCTTCTCCACGCCGACCTTGTTCCGATCGGCACCTCCTCAATGCTGCCACCTCATCCGTCCATACAGCGCCGCAGCCATCGCCTCCCCGACTCCCGTCGTTGTCCACCCCGTCCCCTTCCACGACCGTCGTTTATACCCCCCACCGCTGTGAAATCTGCCGCGCAGAGGTGTGCAGCCATAATCGTTGCCCCTCCCTCCAACCTTTTTCCTTTTTTTTACTATCTCGAGTGGAGATGCGGGTAGGAGATGGCAGAGGTGGTGGCATCCAGGGCTCCCGGTGGTTCGACGACGGAGATAGCCTGTTCCCGGCGGCGGCGAGCTCGACGACGAGCAGATCGGGAGGCTTGTCCACCACCTCGAGTGGCCCTCCATGGCTGCCTCCCCCTCCCCCATGGATTTGGTGGAAGCCAAGTCCTTTCACGTCGCCTCTGCGCCGGCTGTTGATCCCCTCTTCCCGGTTCAGCGGCGGAGACGGCGTGCTGATTCGATGGCTGGATCTGCTTCATGCAGCGGAGGCCCCGCCGCATCCGTCGCACCGCGTC